ACACCCTCACTCCAAGACTCAAGGACTATTACAGAAAAGACGGCAAAATTATTTTAAGAGTCAGTCTTTGTAACCATTTACAGTGATGCCATATTTGCTCAGCCTAATAGGACTATTGCATATACAAACTCAAGCTGCTGGGATTACATGCTCAAGACCAACATGAGATCAAATTATATCCTGAAAATCTTAATTCATTAAAAAGCAAATTTTGAAAATTCACAGTATAATACAATAAGCTTCAGGGCACATAATGTTAATGAAATGTAAGGAGTGCTATTTTTATTTTGTGTAATTTTCAAGTTATGGAAGAGCCATATTTTTTTGTTTTTGACAGGGTTTCTCTGTGGCTTTGGAGGCTGTCCTGGAACTAGCACTTGTAGACCAGGCTGGTCTCGAACTCACAGATATCCACCTGCCTCCCAAGTGCTGAGATTAAAGGCATGAGCCACCACTGCCTGGCCAAGAGCCATAATCTTAAACTCATGGTTGCTATCCAAATGAATGATTATGGACTGATTTCCTGGATTATATAAACTATCTATTTCCATTCAACATTTCTTCCTATCGGCCTGAAGAAATATGTCAACAGTTCTGTATTTAGTTACCATGATAGTCCTTCCTCCTTGGTAGAAGATTTGCAGTCATTTTAAATTTCTAATCATAAGAGTCCTTGATATGACATCTTAAAAGGTATTATGGGACACACTCAATCTTTTTTGCATATTTTTCTATTATTATAGTGTCTTAAATAATGTTTGTTCCTTTTCTTAATTTGATAATCTTATAATTGATAAAATAATCACTTAGAATATCTAGAGCTTGACAATATGAAAACATTATATGTCTTTCTCATCTAAGTCATGACCATGATTTGTTCTGCCTCACAGTTTGAGAGGGATGCATGCAGAGTTTATGGCTCTGCAATATGCTGGCGCTCTTCATATCATAGCAGGGCTATGATAAACATGGGCTAGAAACAATGCTAAGTTCGAACCTTCAAGGCTTGCCCCCAGTGACCCACCCTCCCAATCCCATGTCCTAAAGGAACTACAGCCTCCCACAAGAGCATCAAGAGCTGAAGACTCAGTATTTAAACACATGAGAATACATAGGACGTCGAACATTCAAATCACCAGAAGAATTAAAATCTATATAGTTTATAAATACAACAACCTTGAAAAATTAGCACTACAAAATAACACGATTGTAATAAGTACTTGTGTATATGACAGGAGAAATGGAAATCACCCATCACCTTACATTTTAAGGTTTGGAAAGTG